ATACGCATCGAACTTTGGGGTATGTTACCTCCAAAAATTTAAGAACCACTTTAGCGCTACGTCTATTGCTATAAATTTTCTTTGCTTATAACCACAAGTTTTTTACACACATTTCATCGTTAAAGCACATCTAAACCATTTCATTAAAACTAAAGCTTCATTTTCTCACTTTTGTCAATCAACAATCTTTCCATGCGTCTTGTCAATAAAACATTTTTTTTCCTGCCTTTGTCGCCTCATACTCATTAAAAAACATATTTTATAACAAAAACAATTAGTAATAAAAATATTCTAACAAAATATGTATATAGATTATAGTTTATAACTAAAACACCATAGTGATCAGCACCATTGACATCAACATATGTTATGTAATCACATGCTGTGACTGTTCCAACTGAAATTAGCATGACGTGGACGTGTTAGTTCTTACATATATACAGCCGTCTAGGTTTTCTAGCTCATTTTAATGTTGTTAATAAGCAATTTACACGGTTATTCAACAACACTAATAACAGTTACTTCCAATTTAAACATTAATTAAACTACATAAGTTGATTACTTTACAGTTTTACTTATAAAATTAAATTTAAACATTAATTTAATCTTGGTTGAAAAAATAATTCTATAGTTGTTTTAATTATTCATTTATCAAATTTATGCAAAACTTATTTTGCTATGAGATATGACATATCATGGAATTTACAATTATATTTCTTTACTTTAAAAAATAAATAAATAAAAGCGGACAACAATTGCCCCCCCCCCCCCCCCGAAGATATGCCTGGAAGAAACTCTGCTGGATTCTGAGATACACAGAATAATTGAGTATTTCAAGGGCAGGAAATTCATTAAACTTACTTTCGACTTTTGGTTCTGCCTTCACATGTTCAACCGGGTCCACCTGCTCCTATTTGCACAGTCAAAGGTTTTATTCTTACTAAAACTAGTTGATCTTCTTGTGCCATTTTGTAAAGTTTTTATTTCGTGAATGATTAACATGTTTTTATAAAAATATAATACACTAATTTGTAATTTTGAAGTTAACTTTTTTATATTGAGTGATTGTAATTTACTAAAAGCCTTAAAGTTCTTTGAATTAAATTGTCAATTATTCATCGACCATGATTATTAATGTTTTTCGCAGGCCGTAAAACCCTGTCATATTGAATTGGTTATCAAACTTTTTTATTATCATTGTTTAAATTAAATACTCATTAATGTTACTGCACTAGCTACTTCCATTGTATCAGTACTTTAAAATAGAGTGCTTATCCTGCCCACGACACAGTTTATAATATTGTCAAGGCTTTTCACAAACCGTTTGTGGGCAATAATCCTCTACACACCATGTATAATTAAGGCACATCTCAAACGATTCACTGACACTAAAGTTTCCCATCTCCTTCTTGCATATCAATAAACTGTTCATGCGTCATGTCAATAAGTTAATGCCGTCTACATTTTAGTATATTTTTAAAGTTGTTATTAGGTAATTTACAAAGCTATTCAATATTACTTATAACAGATGCTTGTAATTTACGGATTTTAAACAAATAAGAAAAATGATAAATAGCATTTTTTAATATCAACAGATTAGTTATGTTACATGATCCAATTAGCCAATAACATGAATGCGCCTAGAGTCTACACAAACTCTGATGGGTACCTGAACTACGTTAGGTATAGTCATTGCGGCTGGGTATAGTGCTGATCACACTATCCCTTCATATGCCGAATATAGTTAACTCTACTTCACCTGCCGAGTGGGATATCAGTTAGACAGGGAACTCTACGTTTACATTCATAGAACATTTGTGTCGATACATTTAAAACGATTGAATAGATAAAATTAATGTATGGGTCAATCGCAGAAGCACACTAAAAAATATCATTTTAAAAGACAACAAAACAGTTCTAGTGATATATTATATTTTATTTATCTTTTGGACATAAGCTTAGATCACATGTTAGAAATCGCTGACCTTGATGCCAATAGTGGTGCATAACATATTTAATACAAATCATTGTTTTCTGCTGTTAGTGCATTAAGTCTTCTTATTGTAATTGTGTTCATAACGCCCAGTGTACATGTAATATTTGACAAGAGTTAAACGTTACCTAATCAGATTATATTGCAATGCACGGGCATCAATTAAACTGAGATATATATATATATATATTTTTTAAGAAATTACAACGAAAGATGAATTTAAAAACAGGGTAAAAACCAATAAAGTTATATGGCTGAAGACTTAGAACTGACCATAGATTAACGAAACAATCCAATGTTATAAAATTATGTACATTATTATACCGTGCTAAAGAATAAAGCATACCCTTATAAACAAATACCTAGTTGTATTTACGTGATATCCTTTCACAGTAGGATAACGATTGTATGGGGGAAGGGCACTTTTTGAATAAAATAACTTTGAACAACTATATTTTTGTTTGTGCTAATTCGTTTGTTCTTGTTGAGTTTGATTTGTTTTCGAATACTACATTTTAGAAGTATGGTTGATTAGTTTACAATGATATCATGTGGTACATATTGATGTTCTAAGCGCAGTATGGAATTGAGTCAGCCGATAAATTCTCCACAAATAAGGTACGTTTTTTCGCCCCCCCCCCACACCTTCCAAAGCTTATCATCATTGTTGGCAGACGTTTTCTCCATACTTCGAACACCCTACCTTTTGTAAAATGTTATCACAACTGGACGATGTGGTCTAGCAGGTAGTACGCCAACGGCAAGACGATCCTGGTTCGCTTCAAGCTGCTGGACAAGCCCAACATAAAAGGCGACGTAACTAACACCTCGACCACCTCACTCAGCCAGCACGTGTACCACGAGATCGTCTCAGTGGGCAAAGGCTAACAATCCTACTTCAACGGGGGGGGGGGGGAGAGACTGTGTTTGTATGTGCGTGAGTGTGTGTATGTGTATCTGTTTACAAAAATTGTGTGTATGAATATCAGTGTGGAAATTAAGCTATATGTGGCCATTAATTCGTGTTTAGTATTATTCAAAAAGTTTGAGGTAAGCAAAATCGTAGGTATCTATGTATCACAAGAAAGAGCATTTATTTTTACATCAAAGTAGTTAATTAAACTACCTTAATTAACTTTAATTATTACTAGGTAAATGGTCCAATTGACAGTTGTCTATTAGACGATCTAATAACTCGGTTGTTTCCTATCAGTATATTCCCTAGCACATCTATAAATAGCAAGTATTGGAGATTCCCCAACACTAGTTCACATTTTGAAAAACATTTGACGAGAAGTCTTTTCTTCATGCAAAAGTCAAACGTTTGTAACATTTTATGATACAATTAAAACAGATGAGGCCAATCGCAGTAATTAGTGTGGTGTGTTGTTGACTAGGTTTATGATTAAATAATGATGGTGGCAATTTTCTTTACACTTTAACAGGTGCTGTTCTTGTAAGACTACATTGAGTTGTCCATGCCTAGCTTTTTAAAAATAGGTTAGCATGACAAATGGCCGTATTAATCTGACGTATGTGCAAAGAGAAGTATTTCTATTACGTCAAATTATTTTCAGTGGCAATGAATGTCCTTATTACTTGATCAACCCACACTATACTTGACTAGTAGTAAAGGAACGTAGACAGTTCACAAATACACTTCGCGGTATACAGTACTAAATAGGTAAACGAACACAATGTAGCGACAACCCTATTTCATTATACTTATATTAAAAAAATATAACTTTGCATAACATGTCACGTCTACTATCTGCACATTTTGTGTGAGTGATTTTAAAAAACATAGATTAATTAATAACTTAATTTTATTTCTATCTCAAACTTGAATTTTTTCGGCTTCTGTAAGCATATGCAGATTGTTCGCGTTTGTGTTAATATCTTCATTATCGGCTCGTGAAGACTGGTTTTCAATAGCAATAATAGCATTTCTTTCTGACGGGTACTTTCTTTTATAATCATCTATGTATGCATGAACCAGAACTTCTAGGTTTCATTTTATCCAACTAGAAATGTGAACATAGTGTTTTATTAATTAGTGTGTACTTTTATTAAAACAGCGCCATAGTAGTAACAAAAAAAACCGCAGTTATATCTGCTATCGGTACCATAGTTTTAGACAAGGTTTTAACTCTGGCGGGAAAACATAACTAAACGATAAAACTAAACTAGACACTTTAGGAATGGTAATCATATGTTAATGCGTAATTATTTCGGTACTATCTTCTTTGTATTTAATGTTTAGCTGTTAATAGGATTAGTGAGTCAAGTAGAATCCCTGGTCCACTGTACAGGATGTCCAACCCACGGACCATATTTTCTAAGATAGCATCTGTGGAACTCGTGGTGCCAACTCGTTGCTTACTGTGTGGACAAGATACTGTGTTGACAAAAATCAATGTATTAATTTGATAAAGATTTGATCGGATCTAGTTGCTTCCCATATACATAATTTGAATAATTAAGGGATATAACATGTAAATTTTCACATAGTGATTAAAATAGAAAGCAATCAATTATGTATTAAGATAAAATCGATTTTGTTAATAATACATTACAAAAATAAAGGAATTATAATTTGTGTAAATAATTTTTAGGCATAGCCTCCTTTTAATTGAATGTCTGTGCTAGCGTTTTATAACTGGACTACTGTTATTTTATTATATACCTAATTTGATTAGTAGAGAACGTTTTTCTTAACCACTTCTGCGATCCGTATTTGACACTTCGGCTAAAACTATAGATACTATTGATAACTCTAATAATTTCCAATCGTAATCAAATCACCGTCATAACCTAGATCTAGATCTAGATCTAGATCTAGATCTAGGAATGTACGATCATTTCTAGATTCTAGATCTTATGATTCTATCTCTAAACTCTAAATAAAATAAGTTTCAAGTAGATTCTACACTGTGCAAATACTAAAAGAACAAGAACATAGATCTAGATCTGCCTTTTCTTTTACTGCTTGAAGTTTTAGATTTCATTGAAGAAAATGCTAAATGCTTCACATATAGTTTCTGTTAAATGGCTTAAAGACATTCTTTCAAGCTCATCCAAGTTTAGAATTTTAGATGGTTCATGGCACCTGCCCAATACAGGTAGAATAGCTGCTAATGAATACAAAGAAAAACATATCCCAGGAGCTTTATTCTTTGACATTGATGAATGTGCTGACAAATCAACAAACTTACCACATATGATACCATCCCCTCAAGAGTTTGGTGACTATGTTGGATCTCTGGGAATTAACAATGATACTCAAGTCATAGTGTATGATAATAACCCCCAATTTCCTGTATTTTCTGCACAACGAGTTTGGTGGACCTTTAGATTGTTTGGGCATAAAAAAGTGTGCATCTTAGAGGGCGGTTTGCCTAAATGGTTGTCTGAAGGAGGGTAGACAACTAATGAAACTGTTTCAGTGCCAAAAGAGAAGTTTGCTGTACACTTTAATAAACATCTGGTTAAATCTATTGAAGACATCAAAAGAAATATTGAGAAGCCTGAATTTACTTTAGTGGATGCAAGACCAGATGGGCGTTTTAAAGGAGAAGCTCCAGAACCTCGTCCAGATACCAAACCTGGGTGCATAGTAAACTCCATCAATATTCCATTCATGAATACAATGAATTTAAATGAAAGAAAAATGAAAACACCTGAAGAACTAAAAAAACTGTTTTAAGAAGCTGGAATTGACCTAAATAAACCTTTGGTTGCTTCCTGTGGATCAGGAATCTCTGCATGTATTCTGGCACTATCTGCAGCCTTGCTGGGTAAAGAAGATGTGGCTGTCTATGATGGCTCATGGACTGAGTGGTACCACCATGCACCAGCTCAACTCAAACTAAATGTTCCTAAGTAAACTACAAGTTTGTCATTTTAACATGTCTAGGTCAAATATTCAATGCCTACATGATTAAGAAATTCAATTTACTATTTTATTAAAAATGTCATTTGGCTCTGACCTTGAACTTGCAATTTGTTTTCATGCTTTAAATTGTTATCTATATGAGCAATTGAGCAGTTTAGTTTTCTTTTCCTCACTATGTGCATGCTGGGATGGTATTGAATAATCTTTATAATACAACCTCATATTCAAAAAAAGGTCATGTAAATCAAGAATTAAACTAAACAAATGATTAAAAAAAAACTATTCGTTTGCATTTATTCTCAACCAAGTCGACCAACATGGCGGCAAGAAGGCAGAAGCCAAGGGAGCTGCCAAGGCAAGCAAAACAACTGCAGGAAAGTCTAGAAAGGAAGGGTCCGGTGGTAAAGCTGAGAAGAAGTGGTCTAAAGGAAAAGTCCGTGATAAGTTGAACAATCTTATCCTGTTTGACAAGGCAACATGTGACAAATTATACAAAGAAGTTCCCAAATACAAGTTCATCAAACCTTCAGTTGTATCTGAAAAGTTAAAAGTCAGAGGTTCACTTGCTAAGCAGGCTCTCAAAGAGTTGTATTCAAAGGGTTTGATTAGGCTAGTTTCTAAGTATAGTTCTCATATTATATACACAAGAGCAAAAAATTGAGATAAAGATGATAATAGATTGTTCTGAAATAAAATTTCTTTAATTAAAAAAAATGTCATTAATAGCACACACACAATTAGAAGACGGAACAGCTACATGCTTTCTGTGTTAAACCAACTTCGGAAGCAGCAAACACATTGCTGATAAAGAACATTTGACGAGAACTCTGCGTTTTCTGCATAAGTCAAACTTATGTAACATGTTATGTTACAACCAAAACTTAAATAAAGTCAATCACATTGATCAGTGTGGGTTATTTGTTGACTAGGTTTATGATTAAATATGATGGTGGCCTTTTGTTTTACATGTTTTACAGTTCTTGTAAGACGACATTGGTTTATGATTAAATATGATGGTGGCCTTTTGTTTTACATGTTTTACAGTTCTTGTAAGACGACATTGGTTTATAATTAAATATGATGGTGGCCTTTTGTTTTACATGTTTTACAGTTCTTGTAAGACGACATTGGTTTATAATTAAATATGATGGTGGCCTTTTGTTTTACATGTTTTACAGTTCTTGTAAGACGACATTGAAAGTCCAAGCTCGGCCTTCATAAACAAGACGAACACGACTAGTGTATATGGATCTAGTATTACACGTTTTTATTGTTAACGAGCTGTGTTTCATGTAGTCTTGTTTTGTAACACATTTGTGTTTTCTTCGTCTTATATGTTGTGATCACACATAAAGGCGTGTTCGTATGTTCACAACATATGTCATCATCTTTTGTAATCAACATCAAAAAGTTTTATGTTGACTTTATTTTGCAACACGGTTATCTAAAGCAATCAATTGGGGTTTCTATACAAATCCTGTTCTCGGCCCATTTTATCAGCAAACGTTATACACACAATGACAGATAGTCAAAAACGATCTTCTAGGTATTAAGCATGTGTTTGTACTTTCGTGTTAGTTTTAGGCCGAGCATTTCTAATAGAATATCATTAGAGAAGCGATATATTTTTGAGTCATCGAAATAAACTCATATTTAAAACTTAGGGTAACAATAAAAGCTTAAACTAACAATCCTAGCACTACTGAATGTTTTTGATTGGGTTTTTTTTGAGTGGGGTAAGTGGGTAAAGGCATTTTTTTTATATTACGAAAATCGGCGTAGAATAATTATAAATGGGCGTAGTGGCTATGTTAAACATCTTACTTAATTTTCTTTAAACAACATTTAATCGCGTTTCTGCTGAACATCAGAAACACAAAGTATTCAGAGTTCCTTTAAACTACTATTTAGTGAACTGCTAATATTAACCTGCAATAGTTATCCACCGTGATAAAAACTAAGACAATCAGGGGACATAAACCAGTAACATTACACAATAAAAGTTTTGTAAACAAAGAAGGATTTTTTTAAGTCATCACGATATTTTCTATTATATTCTTTAAACAGAATAATATCAGCTAAGAAAACCTTTTTCTTTTCGATTAAAATTTAAATAATTTATTTATTTTTTGAGTTATGATTAAATACTTAACTTCAACCTATATAAAGTACATACATTTTAAGTTTGGATTGTTTCCTTTAATCAACATTCACCGCCTTTTTTAGTCTGCGCAAATTTTTTTATTCCTGATTAATTTTTGTATTTTAATCATGTCTGGAGAGATAACGCACAACTCTCTATAGCTGGCTAAAAGTAAAGGGATATTATGCCCCACTGAGAATGACACAAATAGTAGATGACTATTTTAAATATATAGTGTTAATATCCTCACACATTTAAAATAATTACGAAGTGACCAGTCAGTAGATAGAACCAGTACAAAGATTTATAAGTGACTGGTCAGTAGATAGAACCAGTAGAAAGATTTATAAGTGACTGGTCAGTAGATAGAACCAGTAGAAAGATTTATAAGTGACTGGTAAGTAGATAGAACCAGTAGAAAGATTTATAAGTGACTGGTCAGTAAATAGAACCAGTAGAAAGATTTATAAGTGACTGGTCAGTAAATAGAACCAGTAGAAAGATTTATAAGTGACTGGTCAGTAGATAGAACCAGTAGAAAGATTTATAAGTGACTGGTCAGTAGATAGAACCAGTAGAAAGATTTATAAGTGACTGGTAAGTAGATAGAACCAGTAGAAAGATTTATAAGGACTGGTCAGTAGATAGAACCAGTTCAAGCTTTTATTTAACTCACTTCCTCGTCAGTCGCCAGTCGTCAGTCTAGACCGAAACGCAGGAGTGAAAATTCGGACAGTTCTACTTGACCGACACGATTCACAGTAGGCACGTGGGTCAAGACATGAAGACAATGCAATCTGAAACTAAATTTGACTTAATTGGATGCCTAATTAATTTTTTATGAATTAATTTAAATTTGGACCGAATTAGTAGGCATGTCTATCCAACCACACCACACGCGTCATCACCTTCAATAGCTGCGCCATCACGTTCAATGGCTGCGTTCAAAAACCATTGCGCGCCTACTGAACGTGATGTTCAGTAGGCGCGCAATGATTTTAGTCACGGAACTCTATTGTAAATAAAACATGTAAAGTACTGACAAAAAAATTCATAAAAACGTTTTAATAACAAGCTTTTATGTAATAATGCACTAAAAAGTAGAAAATAAATTATAGACTACTATTTAAATAACTAGAAAGAAAAGCGTGGGTGTCTTCCTAAACATTAGTGTAGGTATCCAATAGATACTAAAGTGACCCACGCTTTTCTTTCTAGTTATTTAAATAGTAGTCTATAATTTATTTTCTACTTTTTAGTGCATTATTACATAAAAGCTTGTTATTAAAACGTTTTTTTATGAATCTTTTTAGATTTTTAAATGGGCAGTAACCAAAAAAATATAATTTTCTTTGAAACAGTTTAAAAAAAATTAAAGCTAATAAAAATATTTCTCAACACAGTAATGCGTCCTCTCACTAAGCCACGAGTGCCACAGATATATGAGACTAGCAGACATCTGACCACTAGGTTAAACCATTCAATTGTCTACAGCACACACCAGTGTACTGCCGTCTTCTACAGTTATAATGTCGTTAAACCATTCAATTTTCTATCAGTACAGCACACACCAGTGTACTGCCGTCTTCTACAGTTATAATGTCGTTAAACCATTCAATTTTCTATCTGTACAGCACACACCAGTGTACTGCCGTCTTCTACAGTTATAATGTCGTTAAACCATTCAATTTTCTACAGCACACACCAGTGTACTGCCGTCTTCTACAGTTATAATGTCGTTAAACCATCCAATTTTCTATCAGTACAACACACACCAGTGTACTGCCGTCTTCTACAGTTATAATGTCGTTAAACCATTCAATTTTAATCTGGACAAACTATGGCTTCGGAATTAACATGTTTTATTATGTAGGCTAAACACTTTTGTCATAGTTATATGATTTAATTTGTAACTATTAACTAGCACTAAAAAGTATGAATCAACTGAAGATGTCGTTTTATACTTCTACTCTGGACAAGTGTATCATCAAACTTTAATAAAGTAGAGACCAGTAAATATACGGTTTTTCAATCGATCATTCTTTTTTTTACCTGTAATTAGCATGACTTGAAGATGCAATTTACTACACTTATACAGCGTTATATGTTTTTTTTAGCTTCTTTTATAATTATTTTTTTTTTACACATCGATTCAATATCACATGTTCCAGTTAGTTCCCATAGATTTCTCTAAAATAAATTATTCAACTAATCTTGTCTTTCTCTGCATTTTGTTCAGTTGTATGTAGCGATGTTTTATCTATATTTAGCAGGTTTGCAATGAGGTGCCACCTCTCCTTCCTCCCTTAACGGATTCGTCAATTTGTACTTAATAGACTTTTTAACTTGATTAATTAATCACGTACCTTGTGAACAACATATTACTTCTATAGAGCCTACTCTACTATTTTGTTTTGACTTTGTGTCACCCCGCTAAATAGTGTCACCACGACTCGCGACGCATTTGACTTGCACCATCACAACATTCCCTATTTCTATGCCGACACGCATTAAATTTAATGAGATGTGTAAACAGTTACTTCCTGTTTTTCTAATTTAAACATATTAAGGTAGATAATACACAAGTTTGGTTTCTAAATACATTTAAACATTATATTGCTAGTAATTGAAAAAAAAATATGGGGATTGTTGTAATTGTTTCATTCAACATGCTTGTGCACAGCTTCATATGTTGTATGATTTAATATGTGTTGGGATTTTCACTTATCATTCTTCTTTTTTCACAAATCGGAAAGCTTTAAATAAAGCAACATGTATTTTGTATGGCTGAAAAACTTCAATTTAATCATCTGTAAGCAGTTGCAAATAACTGGGTTATTTTATTTTTTTTCAATACAACGAACAATCCACGAAAAAAAATAAATAAATTAAACCAATATTAATGTTGTGTCACAGGCATGAACAGCAAGTACCAACTTTTCACAAACTAGCGAATCACATGCAATAAAATCACATGCAAATATGGATTCATATATAACAAAACACATCTGCAAAAAATATAAAAAGAGACAGGAAAACGTAATCTACAAACATACAGTCTCCTCAACAACAATAAGGAAAGAAGAAAACCCACAATCAGAAGATGGAACAGCTATCTGCTATCTGTGTGAAACCAACTTTGAAAGCAGCAAATACTTTTGTAATAAAGAACGTTTGACGAGAACTCTACGTTTCCTGCAAAAGTCAAACTTATGCAACATTTAAGTTACAACTAAAACATAAATGGAGCCAATCACATTGATCAGTGTGGGTTGTTTGTTGGGTTGGTTAATGATTAAATATGATGGTGGCCTTTTGTTTTACATGTTTTACAGTTCTTGTAAGACGACATTGAAAGTCCAAGCTCGGCCTTCATAAACAAGACGAACATGACTAGTGTATATGGATCTAGTATTACACGTTTTTATTGTTAACGAGCTGTTGTTTCATTTAGTCTTGTGTGTAACCCATTTGTGGTTTCTTCGTCTTATATGTTGTGATCGCACGTAAAGGCATGTCCGTGTGTTCACAACATATGTCATCATCTTTTGTGGTCAACATCAAAAAGTTTTATGTTGACTTCAATTTGCAACACAAAGCCTGTTTTTTTTTCACGTGTATAATCGTACGTATTTAATACGTATTTAATCAGCTGCTTGTGGTATTGTTTTAGGAACGTCAACGACTTCATATGGTCTATTCTCAAATTATTTTTCTAACAACAAATTCCTACTCTCCAACGTCACACCCTAACGTGCCTAGTAACACACTGAGAATATTGTATTAATATAAAGCGTTCCACAATATACACACTCTCATACCCTTACAATACCTAAGACCACTTTCATAACACCGGCCTACCTATAATAATTCTACCTTACTAACGTTATTCTATCGCTCGCCTGCTTTGCCTCTAACATATTTATAACTAGCGGCATAAAATTATGTTTTGATTACATAATGATGTTTTTTTTTTTCTTATTTTTAAAAGTTGCATGTTTCAGAATGCATTAATACCAAAAATTATTTGGCTAAATAAACATAAGAAAAATCAACTGAATTTAAAATATAATAACGCACTACATTTTACTTCAAGGTCAGCCACCATCAGCATGGACTTGAGACACGTGACCCGCACCAGACCCGTGACCCGCACCAGACCCGTGACCCGCACGAGACCCGTAAAAAAATTCTGCTTGAACCCAGCCTGGGTCAAATGGAACCGAGAAATAAAGAAAAAACGTTTATGCACTTACAACTTTTATAAAATATATTATTTTTTCTGACACCAACATTTGCGTGTTGGGATTGATTTATCAAGAATTGTTATTCCATTAAAAACAGACCTACGAATACATATTAGAGTTAAATAATACAAATAAAATAATGTGGATACATTGGAAGCAACCATTCTGAATTTTACTATTTCATTAAATTGTTTAAATAAAAAACAAACCGTAAGCTAAACATCATTTCCTTGATACGTTGGTCACTTATTCTTTGGTCACTTATTCATTATTCTACTCACAACTTTTACTCATACTACAGATCAATCTCCTAAATCACTTTACCCTGACGTTATTAAATGTATTTAAACAAAAACACACAGCCCGCAGAATGACGCTGGCCCGCTTTATTTCCGTTATCCAGAGCAATCGAGTGGGGTTTCCATACAAATCCTGTTCTCGACCCATTTTATCAGCAAACCATAACACAATGACAGACAGATAGTCATACATGATTTACTAGGTATTAAACATTTGTTTGTACTTTAGGGTTAGTTTTAGGCCGAGCATTTCGAATAGAAAATCATTAGAGATGCGATACATGTTTGAGTCATCGAAATAAACTTGTATTTAAAACTTAATGTAAAAATAAAAGCTTAAACTATTAATCCTACTACTACTGACCGTTTTTGGCTTGATTTTTTTAGTGGGGTAAGTGTGGTAAGGGTATTTTTTTTAACATCCCGATAATTGGCGTAGAATAATTATATAGGGACGTAGTGGCTATGTTTAACATATTCGTTAATTTTCTTTAAACATGTTTTAATCTCGTTTCTGATCAACACACGAAACACAGTGTTTAGATTTCCTTTAAACTAATACTAATATTAACCTGCAATAGTTATCGGCCGTGATTGTAACTAAAACAATCAGGGGAGATAAACCAGTAACCTTACACAATAAACTATTTATTAATAAATAAGGATTTAAAATTCCGCAAAGAAACTTTATTATAATTTTAAAAATAGTAGAATATAATTTTAAGCTATTTGTGTGTTAATTGAAACTTACAATTATTTTTTATTTATTTTTTTATAAGGTATGTTTAATTATTCAACTTTAAAGGATATAGAAGTACATACTTTATAAAAAGAGATCGTTCCCTTTACCTGATGTTATGTGCAATGTAAGAATCTCCTCCACAAACTATCTATATTTTAATAAACGATGTATAAGAAAAAAAGAGAGTATAAAAAAAAAACTATAAATAATGTATTCCTGTAATGCTTGAGTCCATGAGTAATTAGCAGTGTCAGCACGATTTCCAATATTTGGATTAAGCTTTCCCTTATCTTTTTCATCTTCTTCATCATCACTGGCTGGCTTTGAATCTTCTTTATTTTCATCTTTTTTAATCATTTGGTTTATCACTTTCTTCAGCAGTGTTGGTACCATTATTTTTTTAACTCTTTCTCTAATCGTTCTGCCTCTTCATCAGTCAGTTCTTTGATTTTTTGGCTCTTCTTCAGCCTTTAGTCTTTCCTTTTCTTCTTCTGCTTTTTTGGCTATTCTTTCTTGCCTCCTCTTCTAATTCTTTCTCTGTTTTTTCCTTTTCCATTCTTTCAGCAACTACTTTTCTGTATTGTTCAAACTTTTCCCTGACCATTTTTTGTGCTTGTTCCTTTCCAGCTCCAGAATAAAAATCAGTCTTTCGAGCTAGGAATCCAAAGAAGGCATCAAGAAGCTCATGAATACCACCCTCACATTGCTGGGCCATAGCCATCAACATTCCATCAAACCGCTCTGGATCTGTAGATCCTGTCATTTTTAGAAACATCCAGAAATGGACTTTTCGAAGTGTAAGTTTTCATAAAGTTTTCTTGAATGCAACTGATTGATAAAAGGTTAATGAAGAAACTAAACACATTCATAGCGTGTCATTTTAATTCATTTCAGTTCAAACTCACAACATTCTGACATAAAAATAAACATAAAATATATATATAAAATAAATAAAAAATTGTTATATTTTGTAAATTGTAACTTTTGGCTCTTCAGGCTCAAAACTTTGCCGACCCCTGAACTGGATAGCGTGCTCCCTTCAGCCCCCACCCCTACATGGTCTGGTGAGCTGTGGTTCACGCTAAATGTTTACAAGCAGAGCCGGGTTTAGTGACGACTATTAAGGGCAGATAATTGAAATTATCTTGGGGGGGGGGGGGGGCGGACTTGACCTGTTTTTGGGACCTCAGCATATAAAGGAATAGAGTTGTCAGACCCATACTGAGCCTAAATAGGTGTTTCTAAAAGGTATGACCTCTTTTTTAATGTGGGGTCTAGTATGTTTTTGTGACGATAAGTGACAGGCGTGATGTCATATATGGATGACCCCCGAAACTCACAGTTATCCAAAGGATGCCGGGTAGTCTATATATATATATATATATATATATATATATATATATATATATATATATATATATATATATATATATATATATATATATATATATATATATATATATAGTCGCAGGTATGTCTCGCATTTTCTTCTCGCAGTTTAACGCCTCGCCATTTTGCGTTTTGCGTCTGGTAAATCGCACGTCCGAAAACAAGTTGCTATGGAATTGTTTATGTAAGATTATATTTACACGAAATTTGTGACACATTTTTTCTTCACTCCCAAACCAGCATTCCGAAAATATTCAACGACTTTGTTCTGATAAAAATAACGAGAAAATTAATTAAAATGTTCTTCAAAAGATCAATTAAACTCTAAAACATAATGTCGAGCAGACAACCAACGGACGCCATGTTTGTTTACATTTTATACAAGTGCAGGCAACTACATATCTCACTCTATCCACTTCCCACTATAATTTAATCCATCAGACTTAGCTCCACTGTGGGGATGAAGAGACATCCAGTGGCACCCCAGTCTGTAGACCAGAGCCCCACTGCTACCAGGGCAGGTACACGTTGTGTACGTGTACCTGGTCTCATACTTCTCCACCTTCTGCCTGTCCACCCAGTGACCTACAGACAACTGCTTTGAACAGCCATGAGGATGTGACACTATAATGGTCAGCTTGTCCACCGATCTATAATACTTTTCACTTACTTTACCATGTTGAACATCAAACTGCCTCACCATCTCCTCCAGGTTATCATTTACTTCTACGTCATGTGTGGCACAATACAACGGACACAAGTCGTCCTTAGTGTGTGACCAATCATCTACCTTCCACCCATACATTTTGACCACTGGACTTTGATCATCATCAAACCACAACTTACAGCTTGACTGTTTCGCCTCTTTTGAATCAAAAACTACATGTGTGGCTGTCACCACACTAACCTCCCACCACACTTTGCTGGGTGTTTCAGAGAGGTTACATTCAGGACATGGACAAGTTCTGTAGCCGTCCATTCCCTCTATGTACTTGGTCACCCCCAACACCCTTCCAGTCCCTGTCCTCAGTGAGTTCTGTCCCCTGTTGTTGTAGCAAGGATATGGATCTTTAGTGCCTGGTACAAACTCTGGTCTGTCTGGACTGGTCAACATCACAGCTATCCTGACAGTTAGGTCAGCAATTGCTTTAGTGAGGTCATACAGGTCGCTGTCTTGGTAACCAGGGGGAAAATGTTCAAGACTTAACTGATTTAAAGGTTCAAAGTTTTTATGGCCAGGATTTTTCTCGCAGTTTTTCAGGTGTGTATGTAGATCTACCTCACCTTGACCTTCAAGGCATTCTTGTACTTCATGTGTACCTGTACAGGTAAACAAAACAATAATGTTACTGTAAACATTAGCTGTTAAACTTCGACAAACATAAAGTATGAAAACTATTTACAACATCCAACTGCCACAACCATCTTAACCATCACCATCTTAAGATACTCATCCAGTAAATACTTCAAACAAAAAATGTTCCAACATAAGGTCTTCATCAGCACAAAACATTTAAGCCTGTGAAATATTTTGAAATGTCTACTTTACTGGTCATACTGTTGTGGTCATCTAGATTATCCTATCCACTGGCCATACTGTTGTGGTCATCTAGATTATCCTCTCCACTGGCCTTACTGTTGTGGTCATCTTGATTATCCTCTCCACTGGCCATACTGTTGTGGTCATCTAGACAATTCTTTCCACTGGCCATACTGTTGTGGTCATCTAGATTATTCTTTCCACTGGCCATACTGTTGTGGTCATCAAGACTGTTCTTTCCACTGGCCTTAATGTTGTGGTCATCTTGATTATCCTCTCCACTGGCCATACTGTTGTGGTCATCTAGACTATTCTTTCCACTGGCCATACTGTTGTGGTCATCTAGACAATTCTTTCCACTGGCCATACTGTTGTGGTCATCTAGATTATTCTTTCCACTGGCCATACTGTTGTGGTCATCAAGACTGTTCTTTCCACTGGCCTTAATGTTGTGGTCATCTTGATTATCCTCTCCACTGGCCATACTGTTGTGGTCATCTAGACTATTCTTTCCACTGGCCATACTGTTGTGGTCATCTAGATTATCCTCTCCACTGGCCATACTGTTGTGGTCATCTAGATTATCCTCTCCACTGGCCATACTGCTGTGGTCATCTAGACTATTCTTTCCACTGGCCATACTGTTGTGGTCATCTAGACTATTCTTTCCACTGGCCATACTGTTGTGGTCATCTAGATTATCCTCTCCACTGGCCATACTGTTGTGGTCATCTAGACTATCCAAGTTGATTTCTATTAAATAAACCACAAAACAAAGGTTTAACACAATGTCTAAATCAGCACTAAAATATGGATGTATTTAACTGTATCGATAATTAAACTTACCTGTAACTTGATGTGACAGATCTCTACCGGCCATGTTAATTTTGTTGATATGTATTATAATGATAAGTATATCTATCTGCATACTGAATTTATTTCTAATTAACATATAAATTAAAATAATAAAAGATAAATGATAAAAACTATTTACGATCCCGATACTTCAAATCGACTAGTAAATTTGAATAAATAGCAAGTATAAATACTTAATGTATTTTGACAAATAAATATTGCAAATATATACTATTGATTTTATCTTAAATATATGAGAATGTTAATAGAACTTAATTGTTCCCTATTAATATAATAGCATAGATTTACGCATAGCCTTAGAACGGCGGGAAAATACATAAATTACTCAATCGATATTTTAAGAATCGTCAACAATTGTTATGTCTCAATATCGATTAATTTAAAATACCGTCAAATGTAATAAAATTTAAGATATTCTTTTGCACATATGTAAATAGTAACTAGAGTAACTAGAGTACCGATTACCAAAACGTAGTGATGCAAGGCTACCTCTTATACCAGCAGTATTGTGAGATCTATTGACTTACTGTACATTTTATTTAGAGAAATTCTTTTCTTAAATGGAACGACTTAATAATATTTGTAGATAAAATTAATCAAGATACAAAAAAAAATTAGTAAAGGCCAAAATAATTACCTAATTAAATTGACATTGAATCCCTAACAGCGCACGCACCAGTTAAGTAAGGAAGTGATATGTGACATGAAAAAGAAGTCTTTTCAAGTGTTTTATAACAGACACTGGATTTTATTTCTTTACACATCACGCTTGATTGGTTTTACAAGATCATATTTTACACCTCTCTGAGTCGGAAAAACATTGTAATATTGCCCGTATATCTGTGTGTATATGTATGTGTGTGTGTGTATCAACTTTTAAGCGATTTTCGATAAACCGGAAGTGGAAATTTTTCTAGTTTGAATTTTTAAAAAGCCTATAACTTGAGTACTATTTCAGTAGTATCAAATTTTGAGTAAATTCTGTTTAACGCGTGGAGTAAGTTTCGCTATTTCAGATTCCTCAAAAACCGCCTGTGAATTTATAAAGTACTAATAATATTCCGCACTATTATGCACATTTAATTTGGCGTTCACTTTGAGTGCAATTCTTTCTTCTACACGATTTTATTTTATTTTAAAAAGTTTAAGTATTTAAAATGGATTAAAAATCATGTCAATGTACCCGAGTTGCCTTCCCCTGTTGTTTCATATAAGAATATTCAAAAAGTTTAGGGGAGATCACTCCCGGATTATTTTCTTTATTTTGAGGCTACTAACTGTCTCTGTTGTAAGTGTTCAAATTTACCTTTAGCGTGTCTTGCTACTGGTAATACATTGCGTATTGAGTTATTTCATCAAGATCTTGACTAGACATAACCCAGGTTTACGACAATGATTAACAAAAGTTGTGACATCAATGATGACGTGAAACCTACAGGTTTACAGACATGATACAGCAAGTTGACATAAAATCAAAGTGTGATTCAACTTAAACCACATTCAAATAAGATAAATAAATATATATATATATATATATATATATATATATATATATATATATATATATATATATATATATATATATATATATATATATATATATATATATATGTATATATATATGTATATATATATATATATATATATATATATATATATATATATATATATATATATATATATATTTTTTGTTGTTTAATATAAAAAAATCGATTTGTTTAAATTGTTATGCTCACACAGTTGACTGCGTTAGATCTTTATGACACGTGATTTTAGTGGGCTGTGTAAGAACAATGCATATTCACAGATAACATTGACGCTGAAGTTTGTTTGCTAAGGGAACATAGTTGTTCTGCTTACTTGCTAAAGAGGATTTTTTTAGAAGAAAAGTGTATTTCCGATATGTTTAAGTAAATTATTAAATAACTTATTTTAAAATCAGCTTAAAGAAGTTAATCTTG